ATAATAATAAAAGATCCGAGACCCTTGGTACGACCGCTCGGGTGCTTAGAGGTGTTTGAAGAGCTGGGAAGGGAAATGTCGAGGAAAGGCCCGCCAACAGGTGAGGAAGGCGGGCGGGTGGATGTAAAGCAGCCTAATAAATAAATAAATAATAAATAATAAAAGACCTGAGACCCTTGGTGCGACCGCTTGGGTGCTTAGAGGTGTTTGAAGAGCTGGGAAGGGAAATGTCGAGGAAAGGCCCGCCAACAGGTGAGGAAGGCGGGCGGGTGGATGTAAAGCAGCCTATATAGTTACATGTTCTGGAAGGGAAGAGAGTTTTGGTGGGACTTGAGGAGTGGGAGAGAAAACACCCCTTGGGCTGAGGACGGTGTTCCAGGTCAGCCGATGCAGACGTTCGTTTGCCAACCACGCACGTGTGAACGGCTGGATCTTGACAGCTGCTAGACTAAGGATTTTACTTTCTCCTAAGGGGAAATTGTTGGAGTTTCAAGTTGCTTACACTTCAGTCATTACAGAGTTAAGTGTTGTTTGTTAGGACAGGATGTTACGTTACATAATGTATTCTAGGGCAGGAAAGTTTGTGGGAGTTGTTTACTCTAATGAGGTGACCTGTGACCTTTGTATTGGTCAACTAACAACTTGCTTGTGGAAATGCTTTGATCTAGCATTCATGTATTCACAAGGTTTATGGCTCTTTGTGTGAACCAGAGAGGAAGCTCCCCTCTAGAAGTTAACACAGATAGAAAGATGTAGCTGTAGCAAAGTAGTACTGAAAGTAACTGCAAGTATGTAACCTTTTCATTTTATTTCTTTTATCCAAAGTACCTTACCCATGCTTTATTTTGTTTTGTAGTAAAGATATTTTTCTTTTACTAATGTGACTCTTGTGTTTGCAAAACGACCATCGATCTTGAATCTCAGAATCCCAACAGAAATCAGTTCTAACCCCCGGGGAGAACTTGGGAGCGGGGCGGGTAGAAATGAGGCAGGAATGAAATCAAAACCGCCTGGACTCGTTCCGGGTGCAATCCTGCGCACACTCGCCTACTTGGAACCTCCTTAGAAGAAAGTTGAGCGGAAGTTGTGGGTTTTCCTTCCCGAGCGAACATGCGTGGGCTGCATATCTGGAAATGCCGGGCCCTCTTCTAGTGGGTGTTAAAGTCGAGGGAACTTCGGAAAAGATTCCAGTCTGGAAAGAGACCGGGGGAGGGGCCGTCTCCAAAGAGCGAGAACTTCTTTGCCTGGGGCGGGGCTTCTCCGCGAAGTTCCAAGGGGGAAAGAACAAGGGGAGATTTTACTCGGGAAGGCCTGTCCAAAGCCAATCCCGGGAGGCTCGCCAAACTCCGAGCCTGTGAGCACCGGCGGCATTTTCTCTGGGCTGGCTGGCACCAGGGGGTCAACCGGTCCGCCGCCCGTGGGAGAAGCTGCCTGGCACCGATCCACCATTTTCGGAACAGGCAAGGGGCTTTACAACATGTTACTCTGCGCACAGGCGCACCCACAGGCACCCCCCGGGGGGCAAGCCAATATTGCTACCCCCCCCCCCCAAGGTCACCTGGTGAGTAGTGAGATGCAGCCGGCGACCTTCATGTGCTCCACCCCTTCCAGATTGTTGGGTATTACATGTTGAAAACACTTCAGTATATATGGGGTTAAATGTCTGTTTGTGTTGTTACAGGAAATCACATGCTTTTGTGTAAACCAATACTAGTTTAGATCTGCAAGCCCGCGAAAAGCATCCCTGATCTAGAAGTCTGATTGGAAGCAAAGTGTCAAAGGGTGTGAGCATTTTATGGCTCCTCTTCCCGTCTTTGTTTGCCTGTCCTGAAGAAGTAAGAGAAGCCATTGCTAGCTCTTCTAGTGTTGTCCTTTGTTGAGTAAGGATGTAGCTGTTTAGCTGTGTTGTTATTTTCCTCCCAGTTACCCTTCCCTATGGTAGAATGTAGTAAAAACTTTCCTATTTTAAACACACATGGACTCTGAGTCTGGATTATTTCACTCTGGCGTCGCTAAGCTATTTTTCTCTGCTGAATTACAATTTTTAAGAACTCCAACATAGATGGAGCCCAGGAAACCTCAGATCCAGGCCTGGGTGTGGGGGTTAGACTGTCAGACTGTACCCCGAGGGATCCAGGTTCGAATCCCTCTGCCACAGAAGCTTGCTGGGCAGCCTTGGACGACTCACTCACTCTCAGCCTCCCTTACAGGGGTAAGGGTAGGAGAACTGCAGGAGAACGATGTTTCGCGTCCACATTGGGGAGGAAAAGGGGTATACATACCTAGACCATGACATAAAATAAAAAGTGTTACGACAGGGGACTGGGGGCGCTGTGCCACATCGGTTGGGGCGCCCCGATTGCACCCAGCGGGGAAGTCAGACGCCCGGAATGAAATCTTGCTCCCCCGGAACGAAATGTTGACCAGCTTTGTGTAGGCTGGATAGGGATACTTTGCACATGCTCAGAGGCAATCTCGGCCCACATTTGCATGCTCCGGAAGAGGCTTGGCTGCCGGCTTCTATGGCTAGTCAGCCTTCCTTTACCCGACCGACCGAAGCCTGGGGCGTTTAGGAGCCGCGAAGGCCTCCGGTTCGAGTCTCCTCTCAGCCAGCCAAGCGGAGAGCCCAGCACCTGCGGGGTTAATCATCAGGGCGACCAACCCCGCAGGGCTGTTGTAACAACTGCTGCCAGATGGTGCCTGGAGAGTTTTGATCTCTGAGAGCGCCCTACAAACGCTTGCTTAGGTTCGATTATTATTATTATGGTTACTATGATGATTATTATTGTTGTTGCTGCGGCTATATTATTATTATTACCATTAATTTATTATTATTATTATTATTAATTATTATTATTATCATCCTCTCAGGCAGAAATCCAGGCAGAAACTTGTCTCCTTCAGAGGAAAAGCCTTCCATTTGATTCAGTTCTGTGTCAGGCTGGTGGCTTCTTTAAAACGTGGCTGCGTTTTTAAAGCAGCTCGTTATTGGTTTGATTTTATTTCCGTTGTATGAGTGTCTGCTGTTTGGAACTGCCACCAGCAGGTCTCCCGGCGAGCAGGCATCCCGCGTCATCGGTATGACAGATTTCCAGCATCTGCGGCGCCACTCCGAGGGCTCCAGTGCAAATCCTGGCCCCGGCAGGGGGTCTCGACTCTGCCCACCGAAACGCCCCAGTCGGAACCTAACCTGCGTGTCTGCGGGTGGGCTGGCTGAACCGAGGAGCCATTTCACATCGACACTTTGAACTCAACCACGCGAGGATGTTGACCGCCGGTTGGTGTGACAAACACGGCGATGGGAGCGACAGGTCGTGTGAACGGGGCATCTCTTTCCAGGACTGGCTCCTGTTCTTGGCAACACTTGCTCCGGATCCAGCTGGAGAGAAACTGAGGCACCCCCTCCCCTGTGCCTAGATTCAGTTCAAACCCCCCACCCCGGTCTTTGTATTGGTGATTTTCGGCGGGGACTGGTGTCGGCCACCCCGAGACAGGCCTTTGACACGCGCCAGAGAGGGCGAATTGGCCCAGCCGAGGGGCAAACCCAGGTCATTTCTTTACGGGACCGGAACCAGCATTTTGGTCACACGGAATTGCGAGGAGGGCTTTTGTGTTGCTGTCGAAGGGAAGGGGAACAGAAGCCTAAACGTGGACCCGTTTTCCTACCCTTGGAGTTCGGATAGAACAGAACATGGGAAAGTTTTACAATCCGAATGTTTCCAACATAGGGAAGGGTACACCAAATAGTCGCGGCCGCAAAAAGCTCAGAGAGAATGTCTGGAAACTCCCAGGAAGTTATTTTTAACGTCAAGAAGTCCGTTCACACGTTCAGTTGCGGGTCATCGGTTGTAAAGGCCTTAAATGCACGCGTGCGCGCGCGCGCCAGCAAGCAAATGAGAAGACGGAAAAGACACTAAAAATGTAGAGTCCGTGTCTGTACCTGTCTGCAGGATCGGGGCCCTGGGTATTGTCAACAAGACGGTTGCGGCAGAGTTTGCCTCAAGGGAGGCGCTGGGGCGCGTGGGGAGGGGGCTACAGCCGTTCCAAAGGTACATTTGTTATCTACAGGATCGGGGCCGGTGGACTGAGGTCAGCGAATTGGGGGGGGGAATGGCGGTCAGACTCGGCCCCCCTCTCCCTTTCCGAGCTCCACAGCCGCCGCGTGGCTTCATGCCAGTTTCTCGGAGCCCGAATCCGGCCCAAAGGAGGGCAAAGAAATGCGGGCGCTCAGCCGGCGAGGGGTGGGGGGAATTCTCGCCAGGCCCGAATGAGGGAGCTGCTCAGACATTCTACATACGGACAGACTTACGCCTTAAGAACGCGAAGTGTGACAGACACGTGTCTCATGCGGGAACAGCCCTCAGGCAGCGCGGGGACTGGCCGCCGGAACCTGAGGACGGCGCAACCTCTGCGTCACGTGTGAAAAGGACCCTTTTTGCCTTCCCGGGTCCCTGCAAGAATCTAGCCCCCGCCCCTACCGCTAATGGGCCGTGTCTGCCGTTCAGCTCGAGGCCGGGGTCTGGAACTCCTCTTCGAATAACCACTCCGGCCAGCGCACCCCCGAGGAGTCCCTGCTTCTCTGCCCCAAAGGTCCCCTTCTTCCCGAGCGTCCCCACCACGGCGCTCCGGGAGGGCTCGACCAGCGCATTTGTAGCCCGCCTTTCCTCGTGGCTCCGGGCGGCTGACAGCGACAGCTTCAGGGACGTTCCCTTCAAACCCAACAAGGGACGGAACGGGACCGGAGGAGGAGGGGAGCTCCGGGGAGCAGAAAGCTGGCCGAGGGCCTTGCTCCCCAGGGGGCTTCCCAACCTGGCCTCCCTGCCCCCTCCCTCGCGCTCCAGCTGGGCCAGCTGGTGGTCCGTGAAGGCCGTGCGCGCCTTGCGGGGCTTCTTCAGCCGCACCGGCGGGCTCTCCCGGGAGCTGGAGATCTCGCGGTCCCCCTCCTCCTTCACTGCGCGCCGGGAGACACAGAGAGCGAGAGAGAGAGAGAGAGCCGCCGTCAGCCGGGCCCGATCCGCACCACCCCCGCGCAAGCCCCAAGCGCAGCCAGACGGAGCTCCGCGGGAGAGACGCGCAGCGGGTCTGGACACGGCTGATGCGCTGAAGGCATTTGTGTGCGCCGCCTTTCCGCCCGCTCAGGCCCCGCAAGGCGGCGGGCGGAGGTGAAGACATGAAAACATCCCAGCCATTAACGTGCAAATAAAGCCATGACATAATCCCAGTAAAAACAAAGAAAGGACACGAGGAGGAGGGCCGGTAACCGGGTTCAGTGGGGCCTGCCCCACAGGCAAAGCAACCTGAAGCCTTCTTACTCCGAAGAACGCGGCTCTGGTTTCACACATTTTAATGAAGAAGGGCAGTTTAGGTTTAGCGTCCCTGCGTCGAATGCCTGTGTCTGATCGGCGTCTGTTCTTGGATCATAATAAACACTGAGATGCGGGCCCGTAGCTACTGTGGGGCATTTGGGGGCCCTGCCCCACCAATTAAAAGCCCCGCCCCACAAACAGCCGTGCCAGAGACCTTATTTTTTTTTAGGAGAGACCCCCTTGAAAGGAAGGGCTAGAAACAAGCTGGGAGCCTCCCCCTTTAAAGACAGGCCTTGCCGAGCCATTCAATTAGCTTTCATCTAACAGCCCCCTTTAAAAATTGAAATGCCCCCGGAACAAACAAACAAGCAATGACAATCCCTATCCCTGGGTCTGCTGAGATGAGACACCCCGACGTGCGTCCCACTGAAACCGACCAGACGGACCTCCTCCGCAGTCAGCGCGCTGAGAAAGAGCCAACCCAACCAGTGTTCCCTCTAAGCTGAGTTAGTGTGAGCTAGCTCACAGTTTTTTAGCCTCTGGCTCAGAAATTTTTGTCTTAGCTTAGGAAGGAGGGCCCCGGAGTCAAATAATTTTTGCAGCAGCCAAATCGCTTACTCACAACTTTAATGCCAGTAGCTCAGAAAGTAGACTTTTTGCTCACAAGACCCCATAACTTAGCGGGAACATTGAACCCAACCCTAAGGGCACTTGCTCAGAAGTCAGAGTCCCAGAAGTGGCGGGGTTGGTTCACTTCCGAGTAAAGCGCTTAGCGGTTCTCGCAGAGCCTCCCTTCCTTCCCTCCCTCCCTCCCTCGACTCAATCGGAAACAGACGGAGGCTGACGGCAAAGCGAACCGGGGCCCTGGGACGCGGCAGGAAACCTGAGCGCTGCGGCCTAGCTGCTTCTGGATCGTGGCCCGGCTTGCTCGGATCACAAACCCCCGGACGCAGAAGGGGGAAGCCGCGGAGCGGCGCGAGTCGGGGCAGAAGAGGGCTTCCCACCAGCCAAAGGCTCAGGAGCGACGCTCCCTCTAAGCGGTGGGGTCTTGTGAGCCAAAATGCTACTTGGTGAGCTCCTGGCATTAAAAGTTGTGAGCGGGCTGCATTTGCCTGCTGCACACATGAGTTTGCTCTGGAGCCATCCCTTCCCCAGCGAAGACAAAAACGCGTGAGCTGGAGGCTAAAAAACCGTGAGCTGGCTCACACTAGCTCGGCTTAGAGGGGGCCGGTGTTCCCTCTAAGCTGTGTTATTGTGAGCTAGCTCACAGTTTTCTAGCCTCCAGCTCATACATTTTTGCCTTAGCTCAGGAAGGAGGGCTCCAGAGCAAACTAATTGATGCGGCAGCCAAATCGCCGGCTCACAACTTTTAATGCCAGCGGCTCACAGAGTCGAATGTTTGCTCACAAGATTCCACAACTTTCTTAAGGAAGAAAGTGACGTTCAGACGTTTGATTCCCCCGCGACAGCCCTGCGGGCCAGAAGCCCCCCTCCCACCCCCCGCCA